AGAATAAGTGCTTCCCTGGCAAGCGTGAGGGCCTGAGTTCAATCCCCGGTTCTGACAAAAAAAAAAAAAAAAAGAAAAGAAAAGAAAAATAAGAAGAAACAAAGTTTATTGGTGAGAAAAGATTGATCTTCAAGTTATTCTGAAGGGCTCTTTCTATTTTCAAGTATATGAAATCAGAGAATCCTCCTTCCATTTAAGATCTGCCAGTTGGGAAAAGCAAGGCTAACAGATAGGAATGAAGTATAAATACTTTTCCTGTGAACAACAGAACATTGAGTTAATGGATTCATGGAAAGTTCTGGTACTCCACTGATATCAAGAAGGCTGGACACACTGCTAGAGTCAGGAAAAAGAGAAGGCTATGAGTCTCGAAGGCCTCGTAGGATATTAGGAGTGCATGAAAGCACCTGTCAGAAAGGTCGTAACCACTGGCTAGCCATGAAAAACATCATTAATGGATTAACTGATAGAATTTATTGCCACATTATGAAAATCCACACTAGTTATAATTGTATAGTTTCACCACTCTATTAAACTTTACAGTACTTCTCAGTAAATACAAATCAATATCAAGTATTATGTGACATAGACTTACAAGTTATACTCTGATGATCAGAACTTAAAATTCCACTCCTTCCTCTGGAATAACTGATCGACAAATTATGGTTACCTGTGGCAAGGGAGTCTGGTTTTTTAGGCCCTAAACTTCTCAACTCGTATTCTAGCAGGTCCAGAATGACTACTCAAAAGGCCAGCCCCAAGCCTGGTACCTTTACAAACCTGCTACCCCATTAAGAGAAACCATACCTTCCAAGCTGTCTGGGCTTCGGATCTGACCCCCACCTTACCTGAGGAGAATGTTGACTTTGGGGAAGCCTTCCCATTTTTCTCTGCATTCTGGACACTCCGTTTTCTTCGATGACACCCACCACAAAGCAAGGCAGTGCCGGCAGAAGCTGTGCCCACAGTTCAGGGTGGTGGGGTTAACCAGAATGTCATAACAGCAGTGGCACGAGAATTCACTGACAGAAATCTGAGGGCAAGTGTTTTCAAGAGGGTCATCTTTTTTTGGATCCACAATGTTTGGGTCATTTTTTTGAGGATCCTCCATCTCAGCAAATTTTGGGATCCACAGACATGGAAAATTTCAGATTGAGGAAACTGCTACAAAGCATCATGGAATCTAGGAGGGAAAGCAATAAAACCAGGATAAATTGTTGGAGATTAATACAACTATATAAAAACTCTAAGCCTTATTTTTATTACAGTGCTGAGGCTCAATGGTGACAGGCCAACACTCATTACTGAGCTATTCTCCTAGGCCAAAGCTAATCTTTACTTTATTTTCACGTACTTTTGCTTTTTTTAGCACTAAGGATTAAATCCAGGGCCCTGCACACAGTAAACAAGCACTCTATCCCTGAGCTATAGCCTCAGCCCTAAAGCTCTAATTTTTAAGTGTAATACAACAGATTCCTAAGAATCTACATTCCATAAATTAAACACTGAATTCCTTTTGGGTCCATCTAGAACACCTTTCAAAATAAGATGAAACAAAAGGTGGCTGTGGCAAGGCAACATGTAATCTCAGCACTCTGGGAGGCTGAGGCAAGAGAATCAAAAGTTCAGGCAGGTCCAGCCTGAGCAATTTAGTGAGACCTCGTCTTACAATTTAAAAGACACAACTCATTGTGAAGGTTCATGGTTCAATCCCCAGTACAGCACCCCCCAAAATTAAAAAAAAATCATGAAGCCAAGTACAGTATATTGGCTAGTTTAATGGATTTGAGTGTGAGAAAAGAATTCTACATCCTTTTCTTTCAAAGTGTAATATAATGTAGTTTCTCTGGCTTCAATATTCTTAATTAAATTTCCTAAGTCCCTTGCAGGTATGATTTTTAAAAAACCAACCTTTCTGCCCAACATAATACACAATAACAGATCATTAGTATTTCATAAACATTTGGTTTCAGGGGCTTTAACTGGAACAATTCCAAGAAACTGTAAGGTTCCTTCCTTTACAGTGCAAATGAGAAGCTGGAGAGGTAAGGAAAATTCTTATTGCTTGGCGTAGGGGTACTGCTGAAGAATGCAAGAACTGGAGGAGGAGGAGGAAAAAGACCGGGAGGAGGCTGTGGCAGCAGACAGACAAAAAATTATCAGGCTAGGCTGGGGGTGTAGTTTGTAAGGGCAGTACGGTGTTGTTTTTGTGGTAACAGGCCCTGATTGGGGAAGGCTTGGCATGAGAGAAAACAAAAAAGAAAGTTGAGGTTAAGCAGGGGAAAAAGACAGAAGTCAGTCTTGGAGCAGCGCATCTTTGGTTTAGGATCCCCACGCCATGCTGGCTCACAACCACAATGATCCAGAGGGCTGTTGTGCAGATGCAGACCCATCAGAAATGAGCACAGCTTTGTTTTCTAGAGCCAAGCCAACCCACCCCCATGACTCAGTACAATCCCTTTCCCCAAATTAACGCAAGCATGCATATATGGTACCTCCTTTGGTAATTTGGATCTACATAAATATGCTAATGTCACCTTTTAAAAAACCAAACCAAAACAAAAAACAGGCCTCATTATGTAGCCCACATTGGCCTTGAACTTGTGGAGATCCTCTTGCCTCAGGCTCGGAAGTGCTAGGATCACATGTCCAGCTAAGACACTGATATTTAATGAGCATCTCCTACAAGGTGGGTACTGGGCCAGGTCCTTGAGCAAAGTCTGTCCTGTCTGGATTCAGTGTCCAAAGAAAGAGAGACCGTGGGCACAACTGAGAGTGAGGGCTGCGTAAGATTGGGCTTGACTTGGCCAGAATATTTTCCCTGAAAACAGCTAAATGACACAGCTAAGATTCAGTCTGACTCAAGGTCTCACCTGGCAAACTAGTGAGAGGTAAGCAGATAGATGTGAGCATGGGTAGGTAGGTAAGTAGGTAGACAGAATTATGGGCAAGTAAGAAATTAGGTATTGCTTTATTTTAGAAAATGAAAATGTAAGGGCTAGAGGTGCAGATCAGTGTAGAGGACCTGACTAGCAGGTGTATGGCCCTGGGTTTCATCCCTAGTACCACACACACACACACACACACACACACACACACACACACAAAATCAGTGGAATAAATGCTTGCCTGGTGAGTGCAATGTCCTGAATTTGATCCCTGATACCACCAAAAAAAAAAAAAAAAAAAAAAGAAAGAAAGAAAGGGATAAATTTTGAAGATGTTAAGAAAATCATCTATGGGCTTTAGAGACTTGAGAGAATGATCAAAAATGCTGGTTAGGGACAGAGAGATAGCTCAGAGGACTAAGCACCGGCAAGTGCAGGAACCAGGTTCAATCCCCAACACCACATGCTGCTCTGGCCCTGCCCCTGGTCGTGCTGAGTTGGCCCCTGAGACGGGACACGGTGGTGCACACCTGTGATCCCAGTGCTGGGGAAGCTATAAACAGGAGGATCACTACCAGTCTGAGCTGCATAGTGAGACCCTGTACCAAATGCGTTAATTAAAATTATACACATATAGATACATACACACACACATATATACATACTGGTTAGGGCTTAGAAACAGAAGAAAAACTGTACTTCTGATAGCTACTGGGTCTAAGTAATCAGTGTCAGTCTTACAAATATGATTTGAATGTGAGAAAATCGGAGTTTAAAGTAATGACAAGGCTCCCAAGCAGAAATGTTGGGTGAATAGCTGGAGACACCAAACTGCACTGCTAGGAATAGGAATGAGGCCACATGCATGCATTTCAGCCAACAGAAACGATGTCACTAAGCTCCTCACAAATTAGACTTTTAAACTAGACTTTTAAGCACACTCTGCTTGTCTAATAACTTCATACAACTATCTTTCCAGATGAATTTTTTTTAGTAATTGTATGAATCTATTTGGAAAAACTAAGGTATTTATTACATTACTCATTCAAGATATGCTTAAAGCAGGATATTTTTTAATTATCACATATTTACTTTTTATTTTTTCATCAGTGCATGTTTACAGTACATATATTTCCATTTCCTGTGTAGAGGTGGAACATGTACATACCTTACTTTTTTACTGCCTTTCCTTCCTTGCCCATCTTGATCTCCTTCCCATTTGAGAAAGTTCTACCTCCCTACTTCCTATTATATCTCTTCTATTTTATTCTTTATTTATAATGATTCTCTCATATAATGCAAATCACACACTAGCATGAAAGTGTTTACTTTATAATTTATTATGCAAGGCCGACGTGGCCACTCACTGTTTTATAACTGCCTTTAACAAATTAAAAACTGTGTGGACTTTGATTACCGTATAGGTGTTAAGTTTCATTTTCCCCTAAATTCAAAAACAGAAAGCTAACACTGAAAAGAAAACACACCCTTTGCCAAATTCAGTTCACCTTTTCTGTTCTCTCTCTTGTGTACTGGGGTTATTTACACTAAAGAAAGCAGTACTTTCAGAAGAGCAAAATGTCTCTCAATGATAGAATCTAGTTCAGGCGTCGGTATTCTGACCAGGGTGAACACACCCTGCTGCCCTGGCAATGCTTAAAGGCCTCCCTGAGGAGAAGGCCACCGTCCTCAGGTCCGATGACATTTACAGTTGTTCTGCGCAAATATGGCTAGCTTGGCAGCAGGCTGAAGCCGTGAAGCAGCTCACTGGCTGTCCCTTGAGTTCCACACACGGAAGCATGTGTTAAAAAGCCTCTCTCCGTTACCTTATCTCTAGACTTCCCTTTTTCTCAGCAGTCTTGGAGGACACTAGGACAGGAAGCTGAACAACACTAGGAGAACACTAGGGAGACATAGGCAAGATTAGGAGAATCACTCTATTCCCACTCCTGCAGCCCCTTCACATGACACACTTCTGTCTATGAAACAGTACTGCTAATTACCTAGTGCAAAACTAATGGGAAGAATATGACTTTAGGAAAGTTGAGAAAACAACAAATAGAAACAAGTTTAAAATCACAGATTGAGGGGCCAGGGAGATAGCTCAGTAGAATACGCTTGCCTGGCAAGTACAAGGGCCTGAGTTCAATCCATGGTACCACAAAAAAATATAAAATTTAAAATTAAAAAAAATATATATCACAGGTTGAGCACTGTAGGATTGCAGAGTGTAGCAAAACCTCAGGTGTTCCCACAGGGACTGGATCACTCGGAAGAGCTGGGTTTCTGACTGAAAGGTTGTGTCTGCAGTGAAGCCGGGAGAGGTCTTTAGGTATGAACTCCAGCTCCCCATGTGCACGCAAGCTGTAAGCTGTGTGTTCCCTGGAGGGAGCTGTCACTAGGCTTTCAGTTGGGATCATGACCCTAATGAGGTTAAGAACTACTGAGTACCCATTGGGACAAAAGATTCCTTCCATACTAAATTCTTTTGCATGAAGTAATTAGAATGGACCCAGTCACCCGCAGTGTGGGCACTGTGTAGTATTCATCTTTCATGTCCTGGACAGCATCACCATCAGCAGCCACCACTCAGCTGCGATAACATCTGGCCTGAAGGCAGGCTTTCCTTCACAGGGTGTTTTGTTTTGTTTCCTGTGAGATGAAGTCTCCCCATGCTGCCCAGGATGCTCTTGAACTCCTGAGCTCAATGATCCTCTGCTGCTTCCCAGGTGGTTGAGACTACAGATGTATGCTGGTGAGCTCGGCTCCTCTCCCCTCACCTTTGTTGATCCCACCGAGCCACAGCCCCAGTTTTATTTTTGAGACAGGATCTTGATGTGTAGTCCAAGCTGGCCTAGACTCACCATGTAGTCCATGCTGACCTTGAACTCACAGTGATCTTCCTGCCTTAGTGTCCCAAGTTTTGGATTACAGGCATGTACCACCATGCCCAGCTTTTTATATCTGGAGCCATGGTCTTGAGAAATTGCCCAGAGTGGGCTGCAACTTGTTATCCTCCTGCCTCAGCCTCCCAAAGTGTTGTGCACTAATCTGCCAGATTTACTTTTTTTTTTAATTGAATTTGGTCCCAACATTTTAAAAAATCTGATTTCACACAAAAATCTAGTTTTCTGATTTCCCTTGAGAAAACAATCAGAAAACAGGTCACACTAAGGTCCTGTCCTACATGTTGAGAAATCAGAGTCAAGTCAGCAGTAGCTGTCCCTTCAGCCAGGGCCACCATTGTGATTCACTCCTCTCACCTGCTCCACAGTTCTGTCAATTGCCTGGCTGAGTTTTCATGCCCTGTCGACACTGATACCTTTAGAGTCCACCAAGCTAGCCTTACACTTGCCAATTTCCCAAGGTCTGCCAGTTTATAAGTTTTCCTGTTTTGATCCACTTTGATGCTTAGGTTGCTGGGAAAGCTGGTGCCTGTATGAGGTCTCCGGCTCCATTAACTGCTCCTCTTGTTTTGGAGTGGGAGCCCAGAGAACCTTGCTCTGCAGACTGCGTCTACAAAAGGCTCCAGGCAATGTGATTCGCATCACAGAGGGGCCAGTAATAGGCCAGCAGCACAGTGCCTGCCTGAGTTTGATTCCCAGAACTTCTCCCCCAAATAAAATACTCAGTACAGCTTCTGATGACTTAGGCACCTCCAATATGTCTATCCACATGGCCTCTTCAAGTCTTCCCAAAGACATACCCAACTGACAGTACAGTTACCTGAAAATCATGAAAGGAAACAGGGACAGTCTCTGAGTGATGCTATCTATGGAAGTAAAGAAGGTGGATATGGCCTCCTTTGGAATGAAAATTGTTTGTCTGGCTTAGTAGAGAGCTTATCCATAGCTTAATCTGCAGGGCAGCCATCAGGAGGGGAGAGCACTGCAGTGACCTGTTTGCTTCTTTAGTCACCCGTATAAGAAAGTCATTCCTGTTGAGAAAAATCAATGCAATAATTTCCACTGATCTTACTGAAAGAGAATGCATTGATTTTGAGTTTTAAGATTTTTTTATATCTTAGCATAAAAGTCTCATTGTATTATGATTATTAACTCTTTAGAAACCATAATTTTGTTGTTGTTGACTTTTTTTTTAAATTTTTATTTTATTATTTTGTGTGTGGCCAGTTCAGCCCACCAGGGGGCGGGGCTGGCTGGCATGTGGTGTTGGGGGATTGAACCGTGGTCCCTGTGCTTTGCTTAGCTTAGCTTGTTCTAAGTAGGTGCTTTAGACCACTGGGCCATCTCACCAGCCCTGTTGTTGACTTTTTGAGGTAGGGTTTTACTATGCAGGTCAGGTTGGCCTTGAACTCCCTTTGTGGTTAGGCTGGCCTCAAACTCACATTGCTCCTCCTGCCTCAGCCTCCTAAGTACTAGGATTATAGGCATGCATCATCATACCCAGCTAGAAATTATAATCTTCAAACTGCTTGCTCCAGCAACATATTATAGTTCTGGTCTTAATTAAACATACATTTGTTGTAACTATAATACATTCCTATTATTTTAGGAATAATCCTTTTAAGGGCTTATTGGGTTCAGCTTGAACAATATGATCTCCATCATTTCTTTGCAAGGATGTTCAGTACAAAAATTAAAAAAAAAAAAAGACTGGGACTTGGGATGTGGTTGAATAGAAGAGTACATGCTCAGATGGCCAGAGCTTTGGGTTCAATACCCAGCACCATAGGAGAAAAAAAAGAGGAAGAAAAATATTTTGGCTTCTTTGGGCCTCTAATCAGGCTATTTCCTTTCATTATACATATCTGACAACAGGAACAACAATTGCTAATATTTATTGAGTGCTTATCGTTTGAAAGTGCCAATAAACCTATGATATACGTTAATAATCATTTCTACTTTTCAGACAACAGAAGCCTAATTGGTAAAGGGCAGAGGCAGGTTTTAAATAATAATCTAAAGCCTGACTTCATAAAGATATCATTAACCCAATGAAGAAATTATTAACATTCATTAGTTGAAACACTGATATACTCTCTTATTATCCAGGCCCTGTAAGAGAGCTGCTACTGCACAGTTGGAAAAAAACAATCTAGGACCAGACAACACTGTTTTGGAATACGAACTCCAGCTAGTAGCTATCAGGGTGAGCACATTGATCTATGCAAACATTCACAGCAAAAACAGGCTAAGGGATGTGCGGGGAGCTACGATTTCTGGCCCATCAGGCTTATTCATAGGGATACTACTATAAACACTTCCCACGTTATTAAATGTCCAAGCATGTCCATTCATTTCCAGTGACTGAAACAAAAGCAAATGTGCCCAAATGTAAGTGAAACAAGTCAAAAACGGCAGTGAGAAAAGAGTATTAGTGTACTTCCTGCTGGCAATAAAATTGGCAGTCTTTTGGGCATTTTTGCCTTTTTGAGACGATCTTGCTATGGTGCTCAGGCTGGCCTTGAACTCACTTTTGTAACCTAGGCTGGTCTAGAACTCGAAATGATCCTCTTGCTTCAGCCTCCAGAGTGCTGGGATTACAGGCATGCATCACCACGCCCGGCCCAAAATTGGCTCTTATAGTAACACAAGAGAAGCAGTCTATAAGACCTTTTATTTTTCCTATTCCAGAATTTTTTTTTTTTTTGCGGGGGGGACAGGGTCAGAAATTACTAGGACAAAGGTAGCTAGCTCCTTTGGATATTGACTTGGTGCCCATACTTTGAAGCCCAGTGATTTATTCCCTTGCATGACATTGGGCAAGATGAGGGCAAACTAAGGAGGGTAACCAGGTTCTCTCTGTGCCTGTCCTCTTGCATGTATTATGTGGCAGATATTCAAGGACCTATCCTGTATGAAACTCTATAAATGAGCAACAAATCAGAAAACTGTACTACAAAGGCTACCAAGTAACCAATAGCTTAACCAACAGCTTTAACATAGTCCATTTTCGGCATGGGGGAATAAGTACCTACTATGCCCAAGGCCCTGGATTTCAACATTTCAACCCCAGGATAACAAAAAAAAAAAAAAACAGTTATGATTCAGTATTACTTAGTAACCATTTCAGGTTCGAGTCACTCTTACACTTTTTACATACTTTTGGTTCAGCCACATCTTTGACCTTCTAGTCAAAACCTGAGTTTGTTGTGACCAGGAACCAAGCCACTGAATTCCATCTTCATTCCTGAGGGTGACTGGCACGAAGCAGGGCTTTAGACTTCCAGATAAAAATCAACTCAACATTTGACTCCTTCTCACAATAGCTTTTAAAACATCTTTGTCAGAATTACCTGGTGACCCTGAATCAGCATGTCCAAGAGCAAGGCTGAGAAATGCAGTTGCCTCTTGGTATCCATGAGAGATTGGTTCCAGGACACCCCACAAATATCAAAATCTGGGGACATCTGAGCCCTATATTTAAAATGACATAGTATTTTCATGTACCTCTGCATATCCTCCTATGTCCCTTAAATAATTTCTAGATTACTTAAAATACTTACTACAATGTAAGTGCCAGGTAAACAGTTGCTATTCAAGTTTTGCTTTTTGGAACTTTCTGGAATTCTATTTTCCTCCAAAGTTTTGGTCTGGGCCAGCCAGCCAGCTCAGCGTATTAAACTGCTTGCTTAGGCAGAGTGCAGCAGCTGGGGTTCAATCCCAAGCGCTCCCTGCCAGCCCTACCCCTGGGGCGCACTGACAGAGATTGAGACCGGATATAGTGGCATGTGCCTGTATTCCTAGCACTTAGGAGTCAGAAAACAGGAGAATGAATCACTATGAGTCTTATCTACGTACTGAGACCCTATAGACCCTGTACTAAACACATTTTAAAAAAAAAAAAAAGAAAGAAAAAAAACACTTTAGGTCCATGGGCCTGCCAGATAGCTCAGCAGACTAAAGCTACTACTTAGGTAGACACAGGGACTGGGGTTTGATCTCTGGCTTGCTGTGCTGGCCCTGCCCCGGGGCACAATGAGAGGTGAATGAGACTATATATGGTAGACTATGCCTATAATCCCAGCACTTGTGAGGCTGAAAACAGAAGGATCACTATGAGTTCGATCTGTGTAATGAGAGACCCTATACTAAATACATTAAAAAATAAAACAAAATAAAGAATTAAAAAACTTCTGGTCCATGGTTGTCTGAATTGGCACATATGGAATCTCAGGATATGGAGGGGTTACTTTTTTTTTTTTTTTTTTTTTTTGAGACAGGTTCTCACTATATAGCACAAACTACCCTCAAACTCATGATACCCTTTCTTAACCTCCCAGGTGCTGTAATTACAGGGATGCATCGCCACACCTAGCTGACTATATGTTTTAAACAAACCCTTCAGGACATTATTATGTGCAGGGAAGTCTGGAATTTGAGAGCTGCTATTTACACGTATATGAGCTGTTACACACACATATATATCTCAGACATGGTACAAACAAAAGGAAGTTTAAGTAGCACTTCATATTCTCTTCTTATCAGTCCTTCTTGTCTTTAGTGCCTAAATTATCCTTTCAAAACAAAATTCCCCTCAATGTTCCCCCCTTTGCTCAAAAACATTCTCTACTATAACAATCCACATAACTTTCATTTTAGTGCTGGGAACTGAATCTAGGGCTTTCTGTACGCTAAGCACATACTTCACTACTGAGCTATACCCTCATTCTCAATCAAAATAATTTTTTAAATTATTGCACAAACTCTAGAGCCAGAAGGAGTTGAAAATCCCAGTGCAACTGTTAGCTGTATGGCTTGAGGCAAGTCACCTTTTCTGTCTCAGTTGCCTCATCTGTACAATAAGAACATTAATAGTTACCAGCCTAATAAGGATTAAAATAATTACTCTATGTGTAGTACTCAGAATTGTGCCTCTTACACATTAAGAACCATAAAATCATTAGCTAATACCATTACCATGATTTTCCTCTATTGTTTTCTGTTCATATACTACAGTGGTCCCACTTACTAATTTCTGCACTTTGAGCATTTTTCCATATTTGCATTGTTGCCCCCCATCTGTAACACAACTCCATACCATCTCTGAATAAAGGTATCCACTGACAAGACTTCTATCATGTCTTTAAATACTAACTCCCCCAACCAAATTTAATCTTTTCTGCCTCTGTGCATTAGTGTAACGTTTATTTGTGTATGTTCTCTCATCTCCTGGACCATAGTTTCCTGGTACAGTTGAGACAGTATAGTCTAGAAGTGAGACTAATCTGGATTCCAAACCAGGTCACCATTCATTCTCTTTAGTCCTCATATTTCCCATTAGTAGCCCAGGATAAGAACATCAACTTCAAAGTCTTAACCTAGAGGGTTAGAAGACAAATTATCCACAAACACTTAGTATGGTTGATTGTTTTAATTATACAATTTCCTGCTATGTACTTCCTGCTACGTGGAATTTCCTGCTATGTCATGCTATGTAGTTAGTGCTGGTGTAAACACTAGTGGGAAAACATCAACGCTGAGGGGAAACACAAATTTCAATCAGTTGACGGAAATATCCAGAGATAAACACATATCAGGATACAGCCAGGCTATTTACAATACAGCAATGACAAGAACAAAATCCTATTGGTACGTGCAGCCTGCACCGGCTCTGGGGTGTGCCCGAAGATGAGAGCAAAACTCCTCGTATTGGCCTCTCTGGGCGTGACGTTAGGGTCACCCAAAGAACCGACGAATGGGCTTTGGCGGGGAGGACCCAACGGCGACAGCTGAGGGCATGACAGCCTCCGGGATATCACTTTCTTTTCTACAAGGGGGGGTTCCTGCCCCACCAAAGATTCCCAGTTAGACATGACCTAAGCCATTCCCACAGTTTTCAGTGCAACAAAACTCCTTTTTGCACACGTCGAGTTCTGAGCAATGAGGCTGGCATTCTAGCACAGCCTCGGTGACTGTGGAGTTTCATCTTCCCTTTCTGTGCTTCCGTTATTACCCCATTTTTAACGAAAGAAACAATCACTCTGCCTCCAACAGACCGTGATCAAAACCTGGTACCTACCAGAGCCCCGATGAATTCTAGTGGGGCTGTCACAGGCTGTGGCCAGCGCTCCTGGCGGGCAGGAGTCCCTCTGTCCCCTCAAAGGTCGGTAAAAGCGACGCTTCTCCACCCTAACTCCAGGAGCCCCGGGAGCCAGCGGCTCCAGCCCTGAGGACGAGGGGCCGGCCGTGTAGACCGGCAGTGGTCAGGAAGGGATGGAGAAGTCGCCAAGCTGGGGTCTGCATCCAGCCGCCAGGGCGAAGCTGCCCAGAAGCCCGGCCCGTGCGAGGAAAAACCCGCGTGCCCCCTCCAACTCCGCCGGAGCGGCTCAGCCGAGCGAACCCCTGCCATCTTCCACACCATGCCCCGAAACCAAGCTGCCCCCTAGCCAGCAATGCCCCAACGCGCCAGAGCTCACCATTCTTTCCATCCCGGCCATAGCCCCCCGCACGAGCCCCCGCGGAAGAAGAAGGCGAGGCGACGACTTCACTTCCGGAGGTAACCTAGGAGGCGGCGCGGCGCTCGCCCCCAGCCCGCGACCATAGAGGAAAGGCCGCGCTCACGCCCCAAAGCCCTCCGCTCTGCGACCTCCGCGCTGCCTAGAGCGGCCACTCCCGCCGGAGGACGAGGGCGCATGCGCACCACCGCGGGCCCCGCCCTTGCCTCCTCGCCGAGGAGCCCGGCGCTCCGGAGTCGCCGCCTGCGGCGAAGGCGGGTGACTGTTGGAGCCTCCTCCTTCGAGGCGGCTGTTTCTGTATCCAGAGGAAACAGCCTTGCCCAGGAATTAAAAGATTACAAGGTCGCACTGTGTACTCGACAGTTTTTCTTCGTACATTTTATGCAGGAAATCACAGGACAGTGGCTAAAGTTGAATTTTACAGTATCGAAAAGATTTGAAATCAGAAGGACCTTATCACCACGGCCTTTCCCCTCTTTCCCTCTGTGTTTAGGTCTGTGGAGAACTCAGGTTGATTACGTGTTTTAAATCCTCTCCTGGGGCGTAGTGGCGCGCGCCTGTAATCCCAGCACTTGGGAGGCTGAAAACAGAATCACTACGAGTCCGAGCTAATAATGAGACCCAGAAGACCCTGTAGATCCTTCCCTAAAATACAAAAAAAAAAAAAATCCTCTCGATTGTCCAATTGCTAATTTGAGATGACTTTTCTTCACCTATCAAACTGGTAAAGATTGGTAATCTGCTACCGAAACTGGTGTGAGCTCATTTTCTGGAAGATAATATGGCAATAGGTATGCAGTAAACAGTTGATGTTAGTTTAGGGGAGGTGACACACTTCTCTAATCCCAGCTCTTGAGAGGCTGAGGCTGGAGGGTCACCGTGAGAAAGAGGGGCTACGTAGCAAAGACCCTGTCTCAAAACACTGCTAGTGTTGGTTTTATTTGGGGTACTGGGCTCTGCAATGTGTTTGTTGTTGTTGTTGTTGTTGTTGTTGTTGTTGTTTTGTGGAACTGGGGATTGAACTCAGGTCCTTGCACTTGCCAGGGAACCCCTTATTCCACTGAGCCATCTCCCCGGCCCTGCTTATTTGGGGTACTGGGAACTGAACCCACCGCGTTGGCGCTAAGCAACATCCCCAACCTCTTTTAAATTTCTTTTTTTCCCCACTTATGTATTTGTTACAGGGTCTTACTACACAGCTCAGACTCATAGTGATCCTCCTGTTTTCAGCCTCCCCAGGGCTGGGATTACAGGCGTGCACCACCATGCCCGGACTCTGTTGCCAGCTCAGCGCACCCCAGAAACTTAATTAAAAGATGAAATTTTAAATTTTGATAGAGGGTTGCAGTCATTAAATGGGCCAGTCTGGGCTTGAGGTTGCTATCATCCTGCCTGAGCTAGGTGCCAACATGCATAGCCCATCTGTGCCAACATGCCTGGCAGTAAAATTTTTTTTTCTTTTGTAGACTCAACATAACATGGAATTTCTTATTTTAACCATCTTTCTGGATTTTACAGTTTAGTGACATCAAGTACATTCACAGTCAGCCAACTATCAGTACTAGTCATCTTCCTAAACTGAAACTCTGCTTCCATTAACACTTACATGGGTTTACAGTACGCTTCACATAACTTAACACCAATGATCCTCAAAACAACCCCTGGAAGCTGAAGTTTAAGAAGACTGAATACATTCCTGAGGTAACCTTTGAAAACAGTTCTTATAACCAACTTCTTAATTGGCTTTTGTGAAAGACCAAGCTGAATTCATCCACATAGTACATTTTATTGAATATCTACTGCTTCTCAGCTCAATGTTAGACTTTTCTGATGAAAAACATTCATCTCAAACCAATGTACAACTCCATTTGGATAAGATCTCCTTGGTAGAGAACTCTTTCCCTCCTCTCTCCTCTGTGACACCACAGTATTCCCAAGAATGAGTTTTGTAGATATGGGTCCTTACTTAAGTGATAATGCAATTTAAAACTGAAGCACAAATATGCAGGGGGAAAAAATCTTCAACTGAAAGGTAAGATAAAGAAAGGACACTGGCTAGGGTAGTACCTAGAGGGGGCTCGGTCCAATGAGGAGGTGCAGGCTGGCCCACCCACAAAAGCAGGAGACCAATTTTAAAGGATTAGCTGAGGTGGGTCAGGGTTTCCTTTCCACTTCTGGTTCCTTAGCTCAGGTTGAACCCTTCTGACTAGTGGGGCAAGTCTACTCGTGAGCTTCTGCTGGAGTCTAAAATGACTATACGTTTAGGGCAGTGAAGATTCTGGGTACAGCTGGGTATCTCTATAAATCTCTCCTTCTAGTGCCATCAGAAGAGTAATCAGATGGGCTAAGTAAATTTAACACTATAAAAATTTGGATAGACACTCCCTAAATCAGTGGTCCCCAACTTTTTTGGAGCAAGGGACCCGTTTCATATAAGACAATTGTTCTATGGATGATACTATTCCATGATTCAAAAGCATGTGCAACCTGGATCACTAATGTGTAGTTCACAGGAGGGTTCTTGCTCCTATGAGAATGTAATGCCCTAGCTCAGTAGTGGCGAACGTAATGCACATATGTCACAGTGGGCATGCAGAGGCATCTCTGTCAGCACAAGAACCACGTCACCTGAGCCACAGTTTGACAAGTTATCAGTATGCTGCAAAGATCACATTAATTGTGCAAAGCAATGCAAATTTTTACCTTTCAATTAAAAAAGCTGTTTGTATCACTGAAAGCTCTGTTGTGTTTTTATTGTATGAGTTTTTTAAAAAACTAAAACGTCAGTATTCAGGTTTAACTGCAGTGTTAGCGCTTTGTGGTAAGTGGTCTTGGGGTTAGTTTAGGCACTAGGTGTCTAAAATCATCACTCTCCTAGCTGATCTGACAGGAGGTGGGGCTCAGGTGGCAATAGGAGGGATGGGGTTTGATTGTAACTACAGATGCAGCCCTGTGGCCCAGGTAGACTAGCAGGCCAAGGCCCAGGTAGACTGGGAGTTGGTGAACTTAATCCTAAGTGACTAACATGCCTGCCTGTATTCTGCTGAGGGTTTGATCCAGGGTTTTATAAAATCAAGGTTAAGTTTTATTGAGTTACCTAGTGGGCATTTGTAGTCTACGCGAAGAGTTACAATTTTAGCAAAAAATACTTTTAAGACCCCTGTTTAAGAGAAAAGACAAATACTTTTGGTGAATAAGAGGTGAAGGGCCCAGGAGTTTGTCCTTTATTCTTAAGCTGGTCTGTGCATCATGATTATATCATATATCCCTTTGCTTTCTCTGATCACCTAAGTAACCCTCCAACCCAAATATTCTCTATTATAGCACCTTGTTCTTTTTCTTCATACAATTACCAGATGGTAAAACTGGTCCCAGTCTTTATTCTGCCTATCCCAAATTTAAGCGCTAGTGGGGCTGGGACTATGCTTTCCTTTTCATCAGGGTATCGCTACCTCTATTAGAGTGGCACACGCTGTACAAGTAGTCCGTTAAATAGTTGATCAACTAGACGTCAAGACTGGGTACGCTTCCAAGCGAAGGCCTCCCCGCATCAGGTCTAGGAAGGGGTGAGAGAGTTCAGCCTTGGCCCCGCCCCTGACGTTGACGCAGGCGCTGACGCAGGCGCAGCGGGCGCGCGCTGTTTCCGGAAGTCGCCCCGGCGGTGTGTTCTGTTGCAGCCCGCCTGTGCCTTTGCCTCAGCCCCTTCCGAGGCCAACGCGGTAGCTGCGGGACACTACGAGTAGAACGGCTGAGGCGAGCCTAGGCGGGGCCGGGGTTCCGGCCACTCTGGAGAATGGAGATAATTAGGAACAGTGCGTGTCTGCGGCGCACCCCCCCGCATCCCCACGACCACACTCATCCAGCCTGCTAGGCCCGGACCGCGGCAGCGAGTTTGGTGGGGCTCGGGGCCAAGTCAGCCCCTGTGCGCTGCACACCCCTTCAGCCGTGCCCTGCCCGGGCCCTTGCTCTCTTCCAGCCACCGGGCCCTGTTCCTTCCGGCGTAGCCACCTGACCTGGCCCGTGCACCCTCGGGACTTGACCCTCTTAAGACCTTGCACACCCTTGCGAGGTGTCTCCCTTAGCCAGCGACCGCAGGCGGTCTTTGGCCCTCCTTCCCTCTCACCTTAGGAGCCCATGGGAAGGAAGCCAGGTCTCGGTTTCTGACCTTCTCGGTTTCTCCGCAGATTTTAAGAGTAACCTTCATAAAGTGTACCAGGCCATAGAGGAGGCCGACTTCTTCGCCATCGATGGGGAGTTTTCAGGTATCCCTCCGGTGCAAGCTCCGGGCTAGCAGCTTGCAATGCATAGCTCAGTCTCCTTCAGCTACCTGCTCCCTCCCATCGCCTGATTCCCTAATTTTACGCCCCCTGGCTGCTTCTTGCTTGCTCTCTGTGGCCTTCTGTTGCAGACGTCTCAGCATTTCCTCTTAAACGGTTTAAAAAAGCATGAAAGACATGCACTGGTTTTGTCAGGCAGTGAGGTTGGGGACAGATTATTGTTTTGGTGCTGCTTAAAACAATTTACTTGTACATGGTAGAAAGCTGGAGGGTTAGGGTCAGAATTGGAGTGTGTGTGTGAGTGACAAATTTACGTAACATAAAATTTATATTCCCAAATGATATGTACACTCTTTCTCCAGCCGCTGCCAAGCACTGTTTGTCTCCATGAATTTGTCTATTTGCCTGTACTATATTTAGATCCCATAATTGGAATCACATAGTATTTGACCTTTTGTGACTGGCCAGGGGCCGGATTTTGCATGTTAAATGAATATGTTCATTTACACAGTATGAGAAGTTACCTACCTCAACAGATGTATTTGGTGTAATCCTTCCTCCCTGCAGTTTCTAGGGCAGTAACCGTGAACCTTTTAGAGCTTTGAGTGATTACAAAAAGCCACTGCACCATCCTGTAGGTTCTCCCCCATTTTCCTAGGAAATATCAAATCTCAGGCCTGGCCTGGGCATTGTGGATGGTGGCAGGCCCTCTACCGCTGAACTACAACTCAAGCCTCAAATTTATGCTAATTTTCAAGAAGTGAGGCAAGAAGCGCTTTTATTTAGTCTTCATAAGAATTTGAAATTTTAGTAGTGTTGAGAGATTGACATGACACTAGCATTAAGTTAAAAATTTGTATCTTAAAATCTAGGAATCAGTGATGGACCTTCAGTCAGTGCCCTGACAAATGGTTTTGACACTCCAGAAGAGAGGTATCAGAAGCTTAAGAAGGTAAGTGAATGTGCTTGAAAGCTTCTATTCCTCCATGTGGATCCTCCTTTTGTTGAATTATAGAGAAATAATTAAATTTGCACATTAATGAAGTGTAGCAATTCCCAACTCCAGACACAAAATGATCTTTTAATTATGTTCAAAATAACAGCAAAAATAATTGTTTGCTGGAAAAACATTTTGGAAACTATTTTTTCTTTTTT